TGTGTCATTACTCTCCAAATGGGCCCGTTTTATAGCCCATGGTTCCTAGATTCAAATTACATTCCACCTAATTCTTTAGCCTACACACGGAAGTCAGAAACTCCTACCCGGGTTGCTACACCACTTGTTGGATATAATTAGTCTAGTTAAGGATTCATTCTATTCTGGAAGCTTCCCAGCTTCTGGGGCCACAACTCTTATAGATAGTGAATGGTTGAATTTTTCCTGTGTTGCCTAACTGTGGTTCTAGACCTAATGTTAGCCAGAGATATACAACAGACAGATTAACACTAAATAGAGAATTAACTTAAGGTCAAGAAAAATGAAAGCCTGGGGCAGCGGGAGAAAATGGTTACAGAAATCATTTTTGATTCTTTCTTCTCTCCTGTTTTACATTTAAGAGTATTTCATGTGTATTTTTATTATTGCCTCTTCAACAAGATAATGAATCTGCCATCACAATAACCTAGGTGTGTTTGCCTAGGTCCTTCCAAACTACAGCCCACTTGAAGGCCATAATATGTAGGAACCCAATGCTATTTGGTAGAAAAGAGAGGAGAAAAGAAAACTCAAGCTGCACTTGATGGTGCACATCTGAAATCCCAGTGATTTGGGAGGTTGAGGCAGGAAGATTGCAGATTTGAGGATAGTCTCAGCAATTTAGTAAGACCCTTCCTTAAAATAAAACAACAACAACAACAACAACAACAACAAAAAAGCCTGTTGTGGTGGTACCTGCCCATAATCCCAGCAGCTCCTGAGGCTGAAGCAGAAGGATCACAAGTTCAAAGCCAACCTCAGCAAAAGTGAGGCACTAAGCAACTCAGTGAGACCCTGTATCTAAATAAAGTACAAAATAGGGTTGGGGATGCAGCTCAGCTCAGTGGTCGAGTGCTCCCAAGTTCAATCCCTGGTACTCCCCTCACCAAAAAACAAAACAAAACAGAAAACAAACATAAAAAGGTCTGGGGATGTGGCTCAGTGGTTAAGTGCCTCTGGGTTCTATCCCCAGTATCAAAAGAGAAAACCCAAGAATTTTTGTGCTCTCTTGAGGCAGTACTGGGATAAATGGGTAATTATTTAGGAAACAAACAAACAAACAAAAAATGATGTGTCTTAGATTATAACCTTAAATGATTGAATATGATGATTCCACTAAGTCAGCCCAAGAGACTGCAGGAGGAGGATGCATTTGGTAGCCAGGTGATCACAAACTTTGTTCTGTTCTGTGTACAGATGCCTGCAGGATATTGAGGCCAGAAACAACAGGCACAGGGACATACATGCCTAGACCATGGGAGATCTGGGCTGGAGAAATGCCTTCGACAGTAGGTAAATGGCAGTTGAAGGCATGGACAAAATCAATTCATTGAGCGCCGTGTGAGAAGAAAACAGAGCTAAGAATAGGACCCTGAGAAACACTATCATTTAAGGTGCAGATGCAGGAAAGGGAGCTGCCTACAACCCTGGGAAGATGCCAGAGTGGTGGGAGAGTATTGCTTCTCTCTCACTTCCAGTGTGTCTTCTTCCCTAGTCCCAAGCACAGGAGTGATCAACATTAAGTGGTGGTGATGGGCAGAGCATGGTGTGGACGGGCTGTGCCTGCTGTGAGAGAAGCTGCAGTTGCGGGTGGGATGGTGTTGGTATTGGTAATGAGCTCGAATCCTAGAAAGCTTGGAAGGAGGCTAGGAGTTGGAATTTCTGAATTCTATGCTTTCTCTGCTACTTCATGTTTCAACAAACATCCTTTCCTTATTCTGAATCATAGCCTGTGTAGGAAAATCTTTACAAATATGGGAAGGGAGATGTGAAGAAAAAACAGAAATGATAGAGGAAAGGAGAGGAGGTGCCTTTCTATTGAGTGTGTGTGCATGTGTATGTGTGTGTTGTTCATACTCATACATGTGTGTGAACATGTGTCCCTGTGTTCCCATATATGTATGAAAGTGTATTATATACGTCTTGTGTTGGTTTGTATGCATGTCAATGTGTATAATCTGTATGTTTTTCTCTGATTATCTATTAAGTACAGAAATTGAGAAGAAACAATTTTTTACAACAAGTTGACAGAGTAATTTTATGTTAATTGAATCTAGTAATAAAAATTTGAGGATTTTGTTTTCTTTATCTCTATGTTCTATTCATTTCCCAGAATTCATTTGATTGTATTTTATAAGAGTATTGGTCTAGGCAGATTACATATAAAACTGCTCCTTTACTATAGCTAGTAGACAAGCACTGATTAAGACTTTTGGTAAGTCTTGATTCTGAAATTTCCAAGGAAGGGAAATTCACTTTAGAAGGCTGAGGCTTCTGATCTGGGTTATATTAGTGAAGCATGAACTCAGGTACTGACCACAAACAAGGGTTCAGGCTTCAGCATCCTGGGCATAGCTTATTCTTTCTTTCCTTCCTCCCCTTTGCAAGAGATGGGACCTCTAAACAGCTTTAAAGGAAATGGATGACAGTATCAAGGCCTCCCTGACTGTGTTTGATCAGGATGCTACCCTTCCTCCTACCTGGGGCAGATGAAGCTGATGTCCACAGAGATTAAGAAGGGCCTCTGACTTGCCTGGTGGCACACACCTGTAATCCCAGCAACTGGGGTTACTGAGGTAGGAGGATCAAAGCCAGCAATTTAGGGAGGCACTTAGTAACTCAGTGAGACCCTGTCTCTGAGTAAAATATAAAAATGGGCTGAGGATGTAGTTCAGTGGTTAAGTGTCCTGGGTTCAATCCCTGGTACCAAAATAGATAGATAGATAGATAGATAGATAGATAGATAGATAATGGGCCTCTGAACAAGAGCTACAAATCTTTCTTCTTCCCTCCAGATAGTAACATGAACTCAATCAGGAAAAGCATAGTCTTTTATTTCAGCAAAATCAGACACATTTCTTTGTCTGACACAGGGAATCCAGCACTGATTCTGCTGACCAATTCCTTAGATAATTGCCCCTGTCTGGGATTCCTCCAGGCTGTCCAACCACAGCCCTTCCAAGGTCCTTAACTTATCTTGTACTTGTAATTTTAGATTCTTTTTCTTTAAGAAGAAGGTCTCCAAAATTACATATGCCATTACTCCACAGAGCCTGGATCCAACCACGCTGAGATCCCCAGTGCTTGACTCTGGAAGAGCCACATAGTACCAAACACTGAGAAAGAAAAGTAAGCAGCGGTGAAGGATAAAGAGAAGGACCCCTCTGTTCCTCCTTTGGAGCATCCATAAAACCCTCTAAGGAATCAAGAGAATATGAGTTTGGGTTGGTAGGAGGGAAGTGATATTTGCAAAGACAGTAAGGATTAGTAAAGAACTCAAGGGAGGAAAACCTTAGCAATGAAAAGTGTTTGCAGAGCTTGGAAAGAGGATCCCAGACCTTAGACAATTTTATCCAAGTGCACAGGAACCAACTGAAATTTCTCAGAATCCCCTTTCTGGGGAGGGTTACAGGCTACTATGTAAGGTGCATTCAGATGCTTCTCTTTGTACCTACAGTTCGGATACTTCCCTGAGGTGAGTGTACACATGGTGAGGGACACAGGTCCTGAGCTCTGGTGGCAGTTTTTATGGTTGTTCTTGCAGGTTATTTTGGGGGTCTGGCAGGTGGTGGCCACATTGGAGAAGGACTCATGCAGGAAGGTGTTGAGGTTCTTGCAGTGTTCTGTGAACTTGTTGACGTGACCCATGGCTGAGTTACATGCTTGCGGCTTGGGCTGCACGTGCTGAATTTCAAACCACTGAGATGAGGTCATGTTCTTGGGCTTGGCACTGACTGGGGTCTCAAGCACCCACAGTCCTAGCACCAGGAGCAGCATCAGTGGGTAGAATCCTGGTCTGGCTGGTGCCATTTCTCCTAAGGGGGAAGTGGAACAGAGGGGAGGGGTAGATGGGTGAGTAGGTAATCATGCGAGTCCTGCTAGTCCTTCCAAGAATTTCATACCCTAAGTCAGTTACTGCAGGGTTCCTGCAGCCCAAGATATTTGAGGAGACCATCTACACTTTACTTTTTGATCCCAGCGGCTAATGTACTTTTTATGCCTTCAATAAATACTTTTATTGTCTACCCCTCACAATAGTTGAATAAAGTGAATATAATTACCCTCTCTATATGCTTGAGCAAACTGAGACTCCTAAAAAGTTAAGGAAATTCCCATCACCACACTACTAGAGAATGTCAAATACAACATTTTAATCAAGCTTCCACTGCTTCTGTTCTTTCCATACTCCCCTGTTTCCTTTTTGACTCTCTGAGAAGTAGTCATGAAGGGAAACCAGTCTTTGAAGAAAAACAGGCCAAAGATCTCCCAGTCTGGCTTAGGTGTCCCGGAAAAGGTGGATTAGGATTGTGGAGTTAGACTCGTTCCTCTCCACTCTGCAGTTCTGTTTCTCACGGAAGTTACAGAAAAACGGTCACACTGAGTCAGGGAATCACTGCACCAGCTGGTAAAGCTGTACAGTGAGTGGGTTCTTTCCATGTCTGACATTTTGCCCTGCTGGGCAATGCCTTGGAATGATCGAGGGTCAGAACTGGAAGAGATCTTTGAGATCACCTCAATTGACGGCCTCATTTTAGAGAGAGAATGAGCTCAAGTTCCTGAAAGGGCAAGTGCCCTTCCCAAGGCCATTGAATGAGTGGCAGCACAGGGACTGGGAGCTTCCTGACTTTCAACCCTTCCCTTTGGTCCAGTGCCAGCTGCCTAGGGAAGGGGAAGGAGCTTCCCAGAGAAGCAGAGCATAGCGTGTCTCTGTTTGTGGTTTTAGGTGGTGTGTGAACATTACCTTAAATAACTTTCTCTTAACCTTTCTGATAACATTTGGGAGAAAGTTTCCTCTTAGAGCAAGAAGGAAACATTCTGTTATACTCACTAGGATTTGTTTTTCCTCCCTTTCAAGAGACAACAGGCCTCAGGCTGAGTCTTCAGCTGAAAATAATATTAGAAGAAGAGAGTTTTTTTAAAAAAAAAAAACAGATGACATTCATTATGTTTATTTTTATTTCTGTTTATTAAATAACACAAGTACTTTGTGAAAGATGGTCCTGCACAGTTTCATTTTCAAAGAATTATCTGAAATAAATGAATAAATATGTATCTGGTAAATTATGGTAATGAAGTAAGTAGATATTGCAAAAATTGTCAAGGAAAAAAGCAAATAACTTCAGCTGGCCAGACTTGATCTGTGTTGGTGTCTTGAATTCCATCCAGCATCCCAACCACTGGCATTTGTGGGATTCCTCTGCCTTCGAGAAAATATGTTCTTCTCCATTTCTGAATGTGAAACTTCTGAGGGGTTGGTCTCTTTGTCCCAAGGTGGAGCCTGGTTCATCAACAGAACTCCCCCTTCCCATGGTAAGAATCTTTTCAATGCAGTTCTTCCCACAAAGCAAACAAAATACTGATTTTTGGACCCAAGAAAAAATTACCCATCAGGCACTTGGCTTGAGCACCACTGTGAATTTTTTTTTCCCTCTTTCTTTCTTTTTTTTTTTTCCCCCAGAATGTCATTTCTCTCTTGCAGGCCCTCATCTGAACCTTTCCCATTGGGATGAAAAGATTATCAAGTGATTATTCATTAACAATTATAATCCAAGCCACCAGGCTTTGGAGTGACTGGGTGGGGATGGCAGCAGAAGTCGAGGACTGGCCTAAACATTTCGTGCTGACCAAATGACTGGCCACAGACTCTGCAAGCTCCAAATCCAATTAAGTTGCAAACATGTGCTGGCCCTGCAGCTGACCAGCTTCACTCAGGCAGCCTGGGGAAGGGGTTCCTTTGATTGTGTATTTGATCCTAGTCATTCATCATGAGCCTTCTCAACTGCCACAGTCTTAGGGCTGTTTTATCCATTAAGCACTAGAGGCTTTGTGTTTAGGGACTGGGAGATTTCCAGGGACCTACAGTCTTTGAGACTGGGAAAAAATGTACTGGCTCCAATACAGGAAAAGGCAAATATAAAATCAAATATTTACTTACCTATTACAAAAGTAACAAAGTCAAATTTATGTATTTTGAAGTTTGGCATGCATGAAAAGTACATTACATTGGAAAATGATCTTATTTAGATTTTTCTCATTTTGGAGGAATTCCCAAACACTATGAATGAAGAAGGGCACAGCATTGATCACAAATTACTTGTAGTCATATAATTTCAATGTAAAACATATTTTATATACATTCCTGCAAAAGTGATCTTAAATGAGAGTCTGGATTTTACATATTCAATGTGGTGTGGTAAAATGTTGAAATCTGATAAATCCGATGGTACACAGTGTAATGTTGACTACTGACAGCAGCCAGGAAAATATACACCCTATTATAAGGTTTGAGTCAGTACAGGGATTTACAACAGCAATAGGAGGAAAGGGATACTACAGACTGCTGTTTAGTGAACATCTAATATGTTCTAGGTGCTTTGTTAAAAATAACAGCTATTGGTGGGGTGCAATGGCACATGCCTGTAATCCTAGTGGCTCAGGAGGCTGAGACAAGAGGATTGCAAGTTCAGTGCCAGCCTCAGAAACTAGGTGAGGCCCTAAGCAACTCCACAAGACACTGGCTCTACATAAAATAGAAAAAAGGGCTGGGGATGTGGCTCAGTAACTAAGTGCCCCTGGGTTCAATCCCTGGTATATAAATATCTCCATCATCTTAAAAGGTATTTCATGGGTCAAGGCATTGTGCTTTATGTACAGCACATTATTATTGGTCCCATGGTATTATCCCCATTTTACAGAAAAAGAAACCAAGGCTCAGGAAGGTTAAGGTCACATGTTTAAATGGCAGGACCAGAATTAAAGATTAGGGGGGCTGGGGTTGTAGCTTAGTGGTAGAGCACTCACCTAGCACATGTGAGGCACTGGATTCGATCCTCAGCACCACATAAAAATAAAGATATTGTGTCCACCTACAATTAAAAAAAAAAAAAAGATTAGGCCTATCTGGCTCCACGCTACTTTCCTGATTATTGATAAGATGAGCCAGAGTGGCTCTGAGTGACTGGTGCTGTGCCCACGAGATCATAAGTAGATTGAACATCACCACTGTTGTGTACTGTGTTCTTGACAAAGAGTTACGCAGAGCGTGTCTATCGATCTATTTGTTGATAGAAACAACATCTCCTCATTTATCTTGTAGCACCCACATGAGACAGAAATATCTACATTTATTTTCCAATTGAGGAGACAATGTCTCTGTCTTTGAGTAACATGCAAAGCAACGGAGTAGTGAGTGACAGAACCAGTTCACTCCGATTCCCCAATTCACACTCTATGCAGGCAGGGCCGCAAAAGGGTTAAATGCACTTAAGAACCAATTCTTACTGATTTTGTTTTTATATGGGTGTTTCTGACCAGCCCCAGAGTGTAACTTAAATTCCTCCCTGGAGATGACTCAAGATGCAAAGGTGAAATAGTGAAGTGGTAAGAATACTGAATCAGACATTCAAAACAGTAAGTTCTAGTCAATTGCATGAGGTTGGGTCAGGCGCGTTGCTGACTTTACATCCACCCAGCTTCGTGGGATACCCAAGCTAGGAGGCACTTCAGAGGTCTGTCTGTTACTGATTGGAGGTATGTTCTGGTGTGCACCACCAGGGAAGCTCATAAGCATATTCTTTATAATGTTCCTCCAAATGGACTTGAGCCTGAATACCTCCACTGACATGGATCTTTACTACCTTTCATGCAGCCAGTTCTACTGTCTCAGAATTCACCTCCTCTAGGATTGCTGAGGGCGGTGTGGGGTATATGTTTTTCAAACCTCTGCTTAGGACCAGAATTAGCTCTAGGTCCCGCATTGCCCCAGTAGAGGGCAATGATGGGATGTATTTATAAAGATTATGTGTGAGAAAACTCTTATGATAAATTGAAAGCTATATTGCTCCGATAGGATCTTATGATAGGGTGTGAGAAAAACCCTTGGGTTTTTTTGACACTTTCAGTTGACTTTCCCTTCTTCATCCCTGTATCAATTAGGTAGCTAACTTACTGAATACCCAGCATGCTCAAAGCCTTGGGGCACATGAGGCCAATCTTATTGCTTCTCTTCTTTCCCTTTCTACCTCCTATCTGGATGACTGTCATCATCTCCTATGTGTCCCACTTTCTCCTGGGTCTAATTGAGCATATATAATATTGTTGGATGAGTCTTGGCAAAATACTCCTTTCCCTATATCTTTTTCTTCTTAAAGAAAATCCTCAGTGGTTCCCTTTTATACAAGGCAAAATTCAACCTCCTCCACTTGGCATCAAAGCCTTCTTCTACTCAGCCTATGTCCAGTCCACCCATCCCTTACCAGTACTCTCCCACTTCTCTAACAAAATACCAGTACTCTAACAAAATAGTATTCTAATGAGACTGGACTTCCTTTTATCTCCACGATAACTTGTCTTTAACTTGCTTTCTGTTTTTCCCTCTCCCTTGAGACCTGGCCTTTGGCTAGCTCACAGGGACACACAGGAATCATGTGCTGGCCTCAGTCTCCTTGTCATTTGTAACACAAAGATTTTCAGTTGAATAATTTATTAAATGCCCCCTGGCTCCCAAACTCTATGGAACAAGGAAAAACAAAAGGTTAGCAGCCAGGCTGGCACATGCCTATAATCCCAGAGGCCCAGAAGGCCGAGGCAGGAGGATCTCAAGTTAAAAACCAGTCTGGTCAACCTAGAAATGAAATAAAAAATAATAATAACCAATAGGCTGGGGATGTACCTCAGTGGTAGAGCGAGCGCCCCTGGGTTCAATGCCCAGTACAAAAAGGTGGGGGTCTCTAGAGTTGTGGCTCAGTGTTAGAGCATTTGCCCAGCACATGTGAGGCATTGAATTAGATCCTCAGCAACACATAATAAATTAAATAAAGTTATCATTTA